ACTATGAGGAATGAATGTAATTTATTTTTAAACTAGTGGATTGGTAATTGTTTAATGTCATCAGGCAATTTGTTATATTATATTAATGATGTTATGCATAAGGACCCGGGAACTAAACCCGAGACCCCTTGCCCGGCAGCCGCACTTGCGACCACTCGGCCAACGAGGCATAATTAATTAAAGCCTAAAAACTTCAATGTCTTATATCAATTAAACTATAAAATGAAACAAGATTATTTTTTTCATTGCCAATTAATTAATTGCGAGTTGTAATCTATGGTTTTTTTATCTATGGCGTATGTTAATTGTAGACCTTTGATTTTGTTTATTATAATTATAGGTAGCTATAGAAAAAATCGTGCACGTAGGTAGGTAAAATTAGTTGAATTACACGTTCATTTATAAAATGAATCAATAATTCCAAGTTCATAGGACGAGGCTGAGACTAGGTGCAAATTCTAACCAAGTTGTGAAAAACTAAATCCTAGCACTGTGGCCAGTGGCGGGCGGCTGTTTCTTTGTGGGTACGCGTCAAAATGAGTCAGAGCCTGAGCTCTGACTCCCTGACTGAACCGGACTGAACCCTGCTGACAGGGTTATCACTAAAATAGTGCCAGTCTGGTTTGACAATCAAAAATGTGTAATAAATAACCCTCAATTAATTTAAAAAAAAAGAGTAAACGTAGAAGTGACTACCTCTTATAATTGCATTTTTAAATTTTTTTTGTATGTATATACATGTACTATCGGATGTATAAATTATTCTATTCACACACATACACACACACACACACACATATTCAGCAAAATTTATATTATTTATATAATTTCATGTTTATTTTCTGTCCTCATTGAGGGCCGGTACCGCCGTCCGTGAGTCACTGCAGGGTGCCACCTGAAAACCAGCGTTGGGCAGAAACGTTCAACTATATGCTGAGGTGGAGGCCCTTTTGGCATGAGCATGCGCAAATCTTATACATATATATATATATATAAAAGAAAGTCGTGTTAGTTACACCATTTATAACTCAAGAACGGCAGCTTAGAGCCAGGAGACCGACATAGGATACTTTTTAACCATTTTTTTTTACTTTTTACAGAAAATCACGAACGGGGACGGGAAAAAATGGGATTACGCGTACGAAGTCGCGGGCATAAGCTAGTTAATAATATATTTTTTGTGTATTCAAAATTCTGTTATTATCGTATTATTATTTTGTTACACTGTGATGTTTTTTGTTCTGTTCTCTATTCTTTTAAGTTTATTATTAGTATTTTGTTCATCTATCTGTATTTTTATTTTTTTATAATCTTTTTTTGTGTGCTAATTGTCATTTCTTTCTTTCTTTCTTTCTAATTATAAGAAATTATCTTCTGCCCGCGACTTATAAATGGGAATCGCTTTGTGATCTTCTGTGATTTGAAAAGTTCATTACTTCATTTGTATAATGTTCAACGCCATTTAGAGGACTCCCACTGGCCTATTCTATTTTAAAACTAAAGAAAAATGGTAATGTTTAGTATGAAAATAACATTTCTCTCTCTCTCAAGAAATACATAATTCACAAGTAATCTATAATATTACAAAATATTAATGGTTAACACCAAAGCTGGGAGACGACTGGCGTGCTAAAGCTATAGGGTCGCAGGCGCAGCTACGCACTTAAACTGTCAAACACCAAGCGGACACCGGTGACCGCGACCTATTGTTCTTTAATTGTTTCTGTAAAACCGGTACTCGACGAGTTAAGAACACATAAAAAATGTCAACACATTAGTGTCGCCACAATATAATAAGTAAGTAATATTTAATAATCTAGATTCTAGATATCTAACTAAAATTAATAATCCTTACCAATATTATAAATCTGAAAGTGAGTTTGTTTGTTTGTTCCACCTTCACGCCGTAAATACTAAACCGATTGCTTTGATTTTTTGCAGACGTAAAGTTAGAAGTCTGGATTAAATAATAGGGTACTTTTTATCCTGGAAAAATTTGATGTAACCATATATATTATATTTGTATTGGTATAGATGGCGCTGTGCGTATTGCTATATGTCACATAGGCTACTTTTTATCCTTTTGTGACGCGAGCGAAGTCGCGGGTAAAAGCTAGTAGTACATAAACTACATACAATTAACACAAATATAATAATACCTATAAGTAGAAATTTAAAAAAACTGCCTCGTTCGCCGAGTGGTCGCAAGTGCGACTGCCAGGCAAGGGGTCTCAGTTTCGATTCCCGGGTCGGGAAAAGTATTACAGGGTTTTTTAAAAAATTCTCAGTTTTAGCACGGAGTCTGGTATTTTGCCTGGTATATGGGAATAGGCTCACCCCTTATTTCATGGGACTCATAACATAAAACAGTCGTAATGGGCTCACCCCCTAGGTATTACATGGGACTCATACCATAAATAATGAAAAGTGGGTTACATTGCACAGTGGCATAATGTGCTCCTCTGCCTACACCTTCGTGGATAAAAGGCGTGATGTTATGTTATGCTCAGTGTCAGACTCTTACTGACTAAAAACCCCGTTCATACTCTTATATAGAGCAGGAGCCCCGGCAACCCGTTAAATCTTTCACGCAAATGCAATTCTACTTCTGACGTCATGAAACGACATTTCCTCACACCCCTTTCCAAGTATACATGTATACTATAGAGGTCGAATGTCGTGGTGGCCCGGAGGTTTAAGACGCCCACTTCTCATGCATGTGGGTGCGGGTTCGAAACCTACCAACGGCAAGTACCAATGTGACTTTTTCCGAGTTATATGTACTTTCTAAGATTATTTAGACACCACTGACAAACGGTGAAGGAAAAACATCGTGAGGAAACCTGGACTTATAATTTCTAATTATAAGTTTGAAATCGCCAACCCGCATTGAGCAAGCGTGGTGATTAATGCTCTAACCTTCTCCGTGTGAGAAGAGGCTTTGCTCAGCAGTGGGCATTTATAGGCTGTTGATGATGATAGAGGTACCCTAGGGATAAACCCACAGGCTAGCACTAACCTACTTGGCACCTAGCCAACTGGTGTCAACTTTCACTCTTCGCACAATGACCTAGGTTAAAACTAGGGTGTCTGGACCTGTGTAGTCTAGACAAACAATTCAACAGGTGACAACCGGTCTAAACTGATTCTTATGGAGGTAATTATTAGGTTAACCAAATAAGTAGGGGGAAATTAGTTACAGTGTGTTTACAAAGTTCTATTTATTTTTGGCAATTTTTAACAAACTTTAGAAACCAAAGAAGGGATTCTCAGAATGACCTGTATGTATTTTTTTTATGGCATAAGCCTGTAGACGAGCAGACGGATCACCTGATGGTAAGCAATTGCGTTATTGCGTTAGAGGCGTGACAAGTGCGTTACCGGCCTTTTGGGGATTAGGAGTTTGAGGATGGTTGCGGATTCAGGAATTGCGGAGATTGGGGAAGGGGAGGGTAATCAAAAATAAGTAAGGCCTCCGGTAACCTCACTCACACGACGAAACACAACGCAAGCGTTGCTTCACGTCGGTTTTCTGCTCGGCCGTGGTATCACTCCGGTCGAGCCGGCCCATTCGTGCCGAAGCATGGCTCTCCCACACTTAAATATGTTTGTATGTATATGTTATCATCTCGCGATTGGCTGGACCGATTTCAATGCGGCTTTCGAAAAGTGTTTGTTACATTTAGAAGCAGGGTTTAAATTTAAAATTTCAATAAAACCGTTAGCGTAATTTAATGAAAATTATTATAACTAAAAATCGCGGGTTACTCACGTGAATATACTGAAAAAGCTTTACTACGTAAACTTACGGGCTAATTAGATTTTTAATTTTCATACCTTGTCATCATCCCTATTGTACCGTACATACCTACATACAAAAAATACATTAAATAACATGTTTTATCTTGTTTTTGTCTAATTACATTTTATTACAGTTTTACGATTTTGCTCTATCGTAGTAACAAAAAAATTTTTACAAGCATAAAAACCGTGTTTTTTCAAAAGTACCGGTTTTTATTTTCATGTGAATTTAAATCATTAAGTATTAAATAACAACGTAGTTTCGAGATAACGTCACGAATTTTTTGTTTATGGGTAGACAGAGGTGCACAAAATAATGTAACACCCACTTTTCACTATTTATGTTACGAGTCCCATGTAATAGGGGGTGAGTCTATTGCCATATACCGGGCACAATTCCAGACTCCGTGCTACTACTGAGAATTTTTGAAAAAACCATTAGTAATACATTGCCTGACACGGGAATCGAACCCAAGTCCCCTTGGCCGGCAGTCGAACTTGCGACCACTCGGCCTTAACTTGCACCCATACATACCTACCCGTTTCGGGGATAAAAGGCGTGATGTTATGTTTGTTATGAGTTCCATGTAATAGGGGGTGAGTCTATTGCCATATACATACCCGATCATCACGCTTGTCTCCTGTTGAGGTAGACAGAGCTAACAGAACGCCAAATGACATGATTTTAGCATAGATACCTTAAAATTTTATTTTACTTTCTTATAACCCGAAAAGACTGATGACTGTTGATGAAGCGAAAGAGGTATTGGCGTATCATAGTATCTGCCTACCCCCATGGGAGATAGGCGTGATGTTATGTTTGTATATATGTATGTCTATAAGACACAGTATAATTAATTTCTGAATTGTATTGTGAACATGATTGAAAAAGAGTAACCTATGGAGTTTCTTGCTCGTTCTTCTACATAGGAATCTACACTTTGGAACGAGCAAATAGAGCAACTAGATTGCTCTATTTGTCTGGGACTGACAAACGGACAGACAGGCTATACATTTTTGTTTGTTTGACGTTTAAAAATGCCTTCTTGGTCTATTATTTAAACAAATAATGTTGACTATTGAATTTTTTTTATAGCATAGTTAAGCCGGTAAACGAGCAGTCGGATCACCTGATGGTAAGCAATCGGCGCCGCCCATGGACTCTCTAAACACCAAGACGTTACAAGTGCGTTACCGGCCTTTTGAATTTGAGGATTGTGGAGGATTCGGGGATTCGGGAGACGGGGACTAGGGAGGTGGGTAATTGGACCTCCGGTAACCTCACTCACACAACGAAACACAACGCAAGCGTTGTTTCACGTCGGTTTTCTGCTCGGCCGTGGTATCACTCCGGTCGAGCCGGCCCATTCGTGCCGAAGCATGGCTCTCCCACACTTAGAACTTTCGCAGAATATTATGTAAACAGTATTGTATTAACAGTATTGTATTAAGTAATTATGCGTGTCACCACGACACGCTTAAGATGCCCACTTCTCATGCATGAGGGTGCGGGTTCGAAACCTACCAACGGCAAGCACCAATGTGACTTTTTCCGAGTTATATGTACTTTCTAAGATTATGTAGACACCACTGACAAACGGTGAAGGAAAAACATCGTGAGGAAACCTGGACTTATAATTTCTAATTATAAGTTTGAAATCGCCAACCCGCATTGAGCAAGCGTGGTGATTAATGCTCTAACCTTCTCCGTGTGAGAAGAGGCTTTGCTCAGCAGTGGGCATTTATAGGCTGTTGATGATGATTAAGTAATTAAATCGAACGGTAACCATTTCTAATAATATCTTATCTACTATCTACCACTTAAACATTTCTAATAATATCTTCTGCAATTCAACTTCTGACCTAGCTTTTAATCAGATGACCCATTTTATAATCAAAAACCTAAGTCTAATTAACTCTAAGAACGAAAAATTAATCAAAACACTTCATATTTGAAACAAAGGAAGTACATTTACCAAAGTAAACAAACGGAACACAGCATCATAAATCAATATAGGCTACAGAATATTCTAGAATAAAGAAAGAGATAGACTTATGTCAAAGTCTAGGGTTAGAAAGAGGTAGTTGCATACGCAGTCGCATAACGATGCGTTGATTGCAGGACGATGGCATATCAATTTGATATCTCTTTTGCACCTGAAGGGATGGCCTGGTATTGATTTTGCTGACGTGGCCAGCTAAGGGTTGATTTGGATGTCCATATAGCTAAGAGGAACGATATTTGTACCTGTTATTCGTTATTTTGGTACTGTTATTTGTTATTTTTGTTGTTATTCTTGTTATTAGTTTAAGTTATGTTTATATTAGTATGCCATTCATTATGACTCCTTAATTAACTCTTAACTAAGAGTTACCTAACGTGACAGAGCACTTAAACTAACCCCTTCCTAAACTTGTACTGTGTGGTGTTACTTTTAAGGTCGGTGAACATATACATTTTGTTAGGTGACACCTTTATTAGTTTAGGGGCCTTAATTTTATGTTGTGGCTTACTCACGTAACTGTTTGACGAGGAACTCGACTAGTTTCAAGCCATGCTAGAGGCTCATATTCGATTGCGCTGCTATTGATCTACTACTACTCGAGTTCCTCGTCAATCAGTAAGACGAGTAAACCGAAAACATAATAATTAATTTGTTATGTCTCACGAGAGATATAATATACGTATTAAAAGAGGTTGGTGAAAACGAGCATTGATACCTGATGGGACAGATCGTGGTGCATATAACATTCGCTTTTAACCAGTTTTATTACGAATCCCATATATACGGAGTCGCGGAAGGCCTAACGGGTTGAAGGGGCCCCAGCTCGAAGTGCAGGAGTAGGAACGGGGTGGTTTCTAATCAGTAAGAGTCTGACACTCCCTTTCGTCCATCTGGAAGGGAATAGACATTGGATGATTTTCCTCCCTCAAAAACAGGGCTTGGCAATAGCCAAACACTACGTATGCCAAATGCTAAGTTATCAGTTATAATATGTAATATATAATTTCAAATTATAATTTGATAACTTTAAAAAAAATAAAAGAAATACTTGATCTCTTTATCTTTGGGAATCAAATTCAAGCCCCCTAGCTTGGCAGTGCCTCTTACAACCACATCAATCAACAATGCAGTCAAACTGCATACGTTGTGCAATGTTCTAAAAATGATAATATTACGTGCATGGACTTAGCCACTGTCTTATAATAGTTGGCGAAATATGATCAGCACCTAAGTATATTCTATCTATAAATGTGCTGACTGAGTCTCTAATAAAACTGTACATACATATAATAACATCACGCTTTTTATCCTCGAATGGGAAGGCAGAGGTGCATAGTACGGCACTTAATGCCACTGTACAATGTAACAGCCACTTTTCACTATTTATGTTATGAGTCCCATGTAATATTGAGTGCGCCTATTGCCATATACCGAGCACGTTTCCAGAGTTCATGCTCATGAGTAGTAGTTCATGAGAGTTCATGTGCATGAGTATTATTGATATTTTTTTTTAGAACCCAGTAATACTTTGCCTGAACCGGGAATTGAACCCGAGACCTGTTGTCCAGCAGTCGCATTTGCGACCATTTTGCCAACGAGGCAGTCTTGTGCAAAATACTTGTCAAAAATGTGCATATTATAAGTAAATATAAGTAGCTGCCGGGCAAGTGGTCTCGGGTTCAATTCCCGGTTCAGGTAAAGAAATATTGAGTTTCCAAAAAAAATTCTTAGTAATAGCATGGAGTCTGGAATTGTTCCCAGTATACGGCAATAGGGTCACCCCATATTACATGGGACTCACAACATGAATAGTGGAAAGTGGGTGTTACACTGTACAGTGGCATTAAGTGACGTGACGTGCCTACCACTCGGTGGATAAAAGGCGTGATACTATGTGTAGTTCTTCATCATTCATAAAGAGGTATAAAATTACCTAATACTGACCTAGCAACGATCTTGAAATACAAAAAGTCCTTGCATATTTCCTTTTTCTGTGTTATATAATTTACTTCACAATAAATTTTGGGGATTTCCGATTTATAGATTGAAAACTTGTTTGAGGTCATCAAACATGCATTTTTATTATTATGTCATAAAAGTTACTCAGATGATATTATTATTTTTTTGGCATGTTTTGAGCTAATAATGATTGTTTTTTTTATCAGATGAGCCGGTAAACGAGCAGACAGACCTTTTTGTTAATTCAACCGTCATACTGTTCGGGGTTCTAATTGGGTACTTGCAAACTAGTCAAATTCAATACTTTTTTCGAACGGTCTATAACGACAGTTTTATATGAATTTTGTACGAGATTGTGTGTTGTGACGTCACGTGTTTTAGCGTCAAACAACATACTTATTTCTTAAATATTTGCTGGAAAAATAATAAAATTAAGTTGGTCATAAAATCAGTTATTAATGAAAATGTGATTATTTTTTAATATTTTATTGTATTGAACATAATTATGTCGTGGTGGGCCGGAGTTTTAAGACGCCCGCTTCTCATGCATGAGGGTGCAGGTTCGAAACCTACCAACAGCAAGTACCAATGTTACTTTTTCCGAGTTATATGTACTTTCTAAGATTATTTAGACACCACTGACAAATGGTGAAGTAAAACATCGTGAGGAAACCTGGGCTTATAATTTCTAATTAAAAGTTTGAAATCGCCAACCCGCATTGAGCAAGCGTGGTGATTAATGCTCTAACCTTCTCCATGTGAGAAGAGGCTTTGCTCAGCAGTGGGCATTTATAAGCTGTTGATGATGATTAAAGAAAGCAACAAAAAATTTAAAAAAAAATTGAAAAATCCAAAAAATATTAGCAAAAAACAGAACTGTTCCAAAATAACAGTTACTTTTTGGAACATGTAACAGTGCAGAGCACAGCCTTAGGTACGTGCCTGCAGGACTCCCATTAAAATTCAGTCGGTGCCGGAAAATGTTCGCGTGTGCAATGATTTATTGCATCCCGAGTGGTTGCAGGTCCCAGGCGATTTGTCAAGATCATTTCGGTAAGTAACCTTGATATTGTACTTCTAGAACACTCTTAATGCAATTTTGGTTTGATATTTCGAGGTTTTTTGGTGATTTTTTCGAGTTTTCTTTCGGTTTTTTGGTGACATGGTGACCCCGCCCCCTTGACCTTTTAGTTCTTTCATTTTAACATATTATTTTTTTTGATTAAATGATTTTATAGCATTCATAATCATCATCATCATCAGCCCAGAAGATGTCCACAGCTGAACAAAGACTTCCTTAGGGGTGGGGGTTGAGAGGGGGTAAGGGGGGGGGGTGAAACTGATTGTATTATGACGTCATCTCATCTTTAGCATATCGATGATGCGTCTTTCTTTAGTTAGGGATCATCGCCATCATTATCGTACTTCGTTAAGACAGACTGCCTAAGGGGGTGACTGGCAGGGGTGGGGGGGGGGGGGGGGGGTTTGAGATTAGATTGACTTAACCATCATTTCATGTAGCGGAGTCGACTTTACGTTCGTTCTGTTGTCGGTCTTTGTAACTATTCGACTTACGGGAACAAAAATTTAGGAAACAAAATGACTTATTGTTCTTTGTCCGACTGACTGATGCCATGGGTGGGGGGGGGGGGCTATATTTAGACCATATTGATCGAATTCTCGTTCGCGCAGTCGCAGTATACAAAATGTTTATATAAATACTGTACACTACGAATCTAGGAACTATTTTCAGGAAATTAATTGAAAATATGTTCGCCTTTGATGTGAGTTGGAAGCAACGGGGGTTTGATTTATGATAGTGATATTGGGAGTGATTGTGATATTGAGATGAGGGTGATAGTGATACTGAGATGAGGGTGATAGTGATAGTGTGATGAGGGTGATAGTGATAGTGTGATGATAATGATATTGACATGGTAGTGACACGGATATTAGAATTATAGTGATAGTGGGATGGAATTGATAGTGAAGTGACTTTTATAATGGGATGGGTGATACTGTGTGATTGTGATACTGTAAAATAAAATTATGAAATGAATAAAAAGAAATGAAATGAATGAAAAGAAATGAAATGAAATGAAATGATTAAATTAAATTAAATTAAATTAAATTAAATTAAATTAAATTAAATTAAATTAAATTAAATTAAATTAAATTAAATTAAATTAAATTAAATTAAATTAAATTAAATTAAATGAAATTAAATGAAATGAAATTAAATGAAATGAAATTAAATTAAATTAAATTAAATTAAATTAAATTAAATTAAATTAAATTAAATTAAATTAAATTAAATTAAATTAAATTAAATAAAATAAAATAAAATAAAATAAAATAAAATAAAATAAAATAAAATAAAATTGAATTGAATTGAATTGAATTGAATTGAATTGAATTGAATTGAATTGAATTGAATTGAATTGAATTAAATTAAATTAAATTAAATTAAATTAAATTAAATTAAATTAAATTAAATTAAATTAAATTAAATTAAATTAAATTAAATTAAATTAAATTAAATTAAATTAAATTAAATTAAATTAAATTAAATTAAATTAAATTAAATTAAATTAAATTAAATTCAATTCAATTCAATTCAATTCAATTCAATTCAATTCAATTCAATTCAATTCAATTAAATTAAATTAAATTAAATTAAGTTGTTCCACTGAGCTGAGCTGAGCTAAATTGTGCTGTGCTGTGCTGTGCTGTGCCTAACTGAACTGAGCTGTGCTGACTTTAGCTGTGCTGAGCTGAACTGAACTGAGATGTGCTGAGCTGAGCTTAGATGTGCTGAGCTGAACTGAGCTATACTGACTTGAGCTGACCTATGTTGAGCTGAACTGAGCTATGCTGAGCTGAGCATAGCTGAACTGACCTTAGCTGAGCCGAGCAGAGCTTGTCTGAGCTGAGCTGAGCTGAGCTTACGTAATATTGAACTGAGCTTAGCTGTGTTGCGCTGAACTGAGCTGTGATGAGCTGAGTTGAGCTGAACAGAGCTATGCTGGGCTGAGCATTGCTGAACTGAGCTGAGCTGAGCTGAGCAGAGCTGGGCAGAGCTGAGCTGAGCTGAGCTGAGCTGAGCTGAGCTGTGCTTAGTTAATTTGAACTGAGCTGTGCTGAGCTGAGTTGAGCTGAGCTAAACTGAGTTGAGTTGAGAGGTAGAGGTGTGATAGAGGTGTGATAGAGGTGTGATAGAGGTGTGATAGAGGTGTGATAGTAGAGCCAATACTGCGATAGGGATATTATAATGGACGGATAGCAGTGTGATACAGGTGTGATGATGGAGATATAACAGTGTGATACGGGAGCATAGACGCAAAGCATCGAGATTATGGCAAACCATCTTAGAGGTATAATGGATTCTTATGGGCTGTTGATTATGATAATTAACTACAATAATTCGTTTTATTATTTTGAAAATAAATTGTATGTATTTGTGAGTACCTAAATACCTAATTTTCTTTACAGGCGTGCGCAAAGTGAAGAAGAAAAGAAATGAAATTAAACACAAAACATTTGTTAAATATTTTCACAGAGATTATAAAGTTACCTATCGAAAGAGAATTTCACGTATTTTAATTTCATTTCGATTCCGGATTCGGGTGTATTTTTATGCATTTAAAATACGAAAAATATTATGTTGTATTTAAAATGCATATTGCAGGTAAGTGCGTAGTTAGTTCAGTTGAAATGATTTTCAAGTACTATTTTATTCAACGGAAAGTTAATATGAATTATATTTTTTGAAAATTTATCTCGAATAGTTTTTAAACTTTATAGAATACAATTTTTTTTTTAAATAAACGATGCATTCTATTGTCAAATTAATGACACAAATAAAATTATAACAATTAACTTGATATTTTAAAACGAACGACATATTTTTCAGTGTTAGTGCAGGATTTTTTGACCGAAACCAAAAATGTTGAACATTTTTGAAACTATCCACTTAATCTAGGGACCTTAGGGCTAGGAAATCAATGTAGGAAATTTGTATTATCATCTCCTGAGAGGAATAGGTACGTCTCGTTACAAGTCACCCTAAATACTATTTTTTGAAAATTACGTAGACTAAACCCGTTTAGTATTGACATTGTTAACAACGGTAATCAGTTGCTAAGATTGTATCGATGTTAAATTTCCTTGCATTTTCAATCTTATTACAAAAGTAATAAGTTGGTATTCAAAAAATTTAACATCGATATGATTCGGCATTCCATTTTTGATGTTAACTGTGTCGATCCTGGATGAGATGGTCGAATTGTTAAAATTACTCAAATGTTAACAAATATTTATGATAGGTAAGAAAAAATGTTTAACGTGTAGGTACTACCTATAAAAATACGTTACATTAGGCAATATAACTTAGTAGGATTATAATTATACTTTAACTATTACAAAAAAAAAAAAATCGAATGAGTTAAATCGACAGAATAATATCTTGATGGTTGTCTTCGTGACGTCATAAAGTGGACTAGGCCTGTAAAGGGATACCACTATAAAAAAAAACGCGCCTGCAGCTCTACCTCATGGGTGGTGTGGAAAAGAGCTGAGTAGGGGCACAGGTGTAGCTAGAGACATTGATATGTTCGCGCTCTAGTTGCAATTGTGAGAATTAGAGTGCAATCAGGAATGGAAATGGGATTAGAAATAGACATGTGAATGAGACTAGTCCTATTCATATATCTAAAGAAAGAAAGAAAGAAAAAACATTTATTCAGCACCAGGCACGATGCAGCATAAATAAAATATAAAAAAGACAATAAAGGTATGACAGTGGAAGTAATAAAAACATTGAGTTAACAAATTAAAGAGAAGAATTAGAAGAGAGACGCTGACAACATGCCTATGCTAAAAGGGTCACCCACTCAGTGTAAGCCAGCCATACAAGTCACCCGGCTCTGATTTTCATCATTGTCCATTCCAGTGTTTATATCTATCCGGAGGACACGGTGGAGCATACGGTGGCGGTGTGTCCTGCGTAGACTGAGCACCGTCGTGTCCTCAGGAATGCGATCGGCGACGGCGACCTCTCGCGTCAGGCTCTGGTTCAGACCATGGTACGGAGCGAGGGGGACTGGGATGCCGTCTCCTCCTTTTGCGAAGCAGTCATGCTAGCTAAGGAGGAGGCGGGACGCGTAAGGCAGCGAAGCGCTGCCTCCTCGCAACCCAGCCATCGCGAAGGACACACCGGGCGTCGGGGATCGCGGGACGATCGGGCGAGCATGGGTGGCCCCTCGTCCGACCAGAAACAGACCCGAGCGAACGGTGCGTCGCGTTCCGCGCGCGCCTCAAAGAGCCATCAGACCCCCACAGATGGGGCCCAATAGGACCGATGCCGATTCGGAGTCGCGGAGAACCTAACGGGTTACCGGGGCTCCGGCTCGACGTGCTGGAGAAGGAACGGGGTGGTTTTTAGTCAGTAAGAGTCTGACACTCCCTCCCGCCTCACCCAGGCGGGAATATTCACTCGATGATATTCCCCCTTAAAAAAATCACTATAAACGCATCAAAGTGATTTGATTTGTTTCCATTCCATTCGTGTAGTATGATGCACATGCATATATGGTAAGTATGATTACTTGTACCGAAGAAAGTCTCTCAACTGGTATACAGGGAATATTTTGATATGCTGAAATTTCAGGTATGTATGTACTGTGTACAGATTAATGGGATTCGGAGATTTAATACTCAAATGTATTTCTGTTTATAATTAAATAAAGACTTATGTTTTTTTTTCAAAATCTTCATCATTCTGCGGCCAATAATTTAGTTCTCTTTCGAGTTTGCCGCAGTGTTATCTGTTGTTATAGTGTTACGAGTAGGTTGTTTAATAAGTTATTTATATTTTTAGGCTAAACCAAAATCAATATGAACGAGAGACACAAACAACAGCTAAGGAACCAAATCTGTAAGTACACAATATTTTATTCTTAACTAGCTGTTGCCCGCGACTTCGTCCGCGTAGATTTCATCAGAATCGATTCAGTGCCCATGTATTTATTGAGAAATGATTTATCGTGTTTAAAAAAAATAAATAATCCCGCAGCTATCTTACCAGTACAGTTCGCGTATGGTTTGAGTGATAAAAATCATTCTATCGACTACTGTTATACCAAATCTCTCTAAAATAAGTTCAGTGGTTAAGAGATAGAGAGTCCTGGGGTATCAACGCATAGTTCCCATTCCCGGCGGACTTCTGTGATAGAAATTATCATATATACCTAGGTCTCAAATTATCTTTTTACCGAATGTAATTCAAAAAGATTCAATGATTCTACCTCTAGATTCAAGGGCTAAGATTTTAAGAATTTTTTTTCGAGATTGCGCGTACGAAGTCGCGGGCAGAAGCTAGTATATGTATGTAGATAGATAGTCAATATATAAATTATTATTTTTTATTTTATTAATAGTTTGTATGCTTTGTAAAATATCTTTTTTTTAATAAATGCACTATTCTATTGACCAAATTAGGGATAAAAAACAAGATCAATTTTACTTGGTATGTTAACACGATGACACATGATAGGTAGGAACTATCAGTATTAATACATATTACAAAATATTTATTGACAACAGATTAAAACTTAAATCACTTAAATGAGATGAAAGTACTTGTGTTTGTTTTCATACTTAAAGATATTTAAATAAAGAAATCTTGATGGTTATCTTCATGACATTTTAAAGTGGACTAGGCCTGAAAGGGGATACCACTATAAAAAAAACGCGCCTGCAGCTCTACCTCATGGGTGGTGTGGAAAAGAGCTGAGTAGGGGCACAGGTGTAGCTAGAGACATTGATATGTTCGCAGTCTAGTTGTTAACAATTATACTTCTTCATCATCAGACCCTTAATGACAGCCCCACTCTATCTAGGTGTAAAGTCCTCATCAATACAAATTAATCAAGCCCAAACACAAGGTAGTTAATATAAACCGCTAAAGAGTTCCCTCGACTGTCTATCGGCTCCATCATCAGATCGACTCCAGACCCTTATCAAATGGTAGTGTTTAAAAATCTTAATTGAAAAACATAATAGACGCACTACTCGCCCATACAATTTTCGAAAGTTCCCCTCGGTTTCCCTAGGATCCCATCTTCAGATCCTGACCTCCTCCTGAACATAGTACCTCCTCCTTTTTTTAAAGTCGGTAATAACAATCGCAATCGTCTGTGTGTCGTGGGTCTATATATATATATAGTTCTTCTGTATTTCGGTTCCATCATTAGCCACTTAGGAAAAATCTAATAACTATAACTAATCAATCAACTTGTTAGAATTAGTGCAAATACGGTATATACCCAGTTGGTATTTTTAGGTTGTAATGCGTAATTTGTATATTTATCGTGTTTATTATTACATAATATTTGTTGCTGTGCGTAATCAAATGTGCTATGCGTCATAATTACATGTGTTTCCGAGTAAATTATTATTATTATTATACTTTATGTTTTAGGCTAGTTGGCATCACAACAAGGGGGCGTAAGCAGAAAAAATGTAACAAGGTAAAAATTGAACATGCACAGAAATACATGGAAATGAAATATGTATCACGTAAGTACACAATTCATTTAAATATTATTTTCATTACTTAAACTATACAAGGTGTAGTTTAGAAAACGTGTCATTTCTCGGGGCATGTCACAGAAGTCATAATGGTTTAATGTAAGAGAAAGTTTCGGGCCAATAGTTAAAAATACGGCTATAGTAAATCGTTTAAGTTCGACAGTATTTCAGAATAAGCGACAGCCATGTTTCTTATTGGAGTTTTATGAAATTCGAAATAATATTAATTACGTGTTTGAGTTTGTGTGTTAAGCCGCGTTATAAAGCTAGTTACAAGACGGCGGCATGTAGTTCGCACTTACGGATTTCCGTAATTTGTAGAAAAATGAAAAATATTTACCTACAATTTTTTTTATTGATTCGGTCTCAGAATCAATAGCCGAGTTATCTCCTAGAAAATGACGCGACTTTAAAACAAATCCTCGTATAATTTGTATAATTTAATCTCACTCTGTATTATAATTATGATATTTTTATTAAGTAATTCAATTTAATATTAAGTAAATTAATTGTGGAACAGACCTTTAATCTTAAAGATTTTTAACCTCAAAAATCTGTTGTTCACTTGTATTGTGTATTGTCAAATCTTGATACATTTTCAACCTAATTACCGAAGGATAAGGTTGAAATAGGCCCGCCGTTATTGTGGCGGGAAGACCACTCTTTGAGGAGTGGCTAGATAGGTGCCATAGTGTCCCCATCTTCCGCCTGAGGCTAGTACTTTACGATCATTAATGTTTTTTTATAATAACTATCGTGAGATATAATAAATTAACTCAAAATCGCGGGTTACTCATGATAGCTTTTTTTAAGGGCAGAAAATCATCGAATTACTTCTCCCGCCTAGGTGAGGCGGGAGGGAGACTCTTACTAACTAAAAACCACCCAGGAGCCTTTAGCCTTGTTGAGTCCTCCGCGGCTCCGTAATGGCATCATCATATCACCTTATTGAGCCCATCTGTGGTGGTTTGATGGCTCTTTGAGGCGGGCACGGAACGTGACACGCCGTACCCTCGGAT